CAGATGTTTTGGACTATATTTCCCATAATGCAGGACACATTGTACTATGGAAAACCCCCTTCTCCACCTTGCGTTATGCAGCTAATTCACCAGACTCTGCGTTCCCTGTTTGGGTCTGGTTTTGATTGCTTTTATGGATGGTCATTGTCTTTCTTCCCTCTGCCTCCGCCTTACAAATCAGCAAGGGAGATGCAGTCCAAAACATCTGGAGGGCCGAAGGTTCCCCACCCCTGCTTTAAAGGAACATTGTGCGTTAGGAACCTAAAAGTGTATTCCTAATGTCCTAAATCGCCCTGAAAGGGTTAAAAAGATTTTACAAACTTTTTATCCCACACCATGCTGGACTCTCAATGACACCATCTAACTGAAAATTGTTTCACTTGGCTACAAAGCTTTATTCCTAACACTAAAGTATCCCTCTGCCATCCATGAAAGGGACTAAATATTCCGCTAAACACTTACCCGATTCCAGCGCCAATGTCCCTTGGTGCTGGGCCGGGCTCCTCCGCCAATGAAAGTTGATGACACATGAATGGCATGCACCGCAAACGCCTTAGGGCTTCCCTATAGTAAAGCATTGAATCAATGCTTTCCTATGGGGTTTTGAAAGGCGCTGGATGTCCAAATGCAGAACGTGGTTTGTCCTGAATCATTTCACTGAATCAAACTCCATGAAACTACAAGAAGTGCCTCTAGTGGCTGTCTTAACACTGCAAGGCTAAGGGGACAGGGACACTGAACCCAGACCACTTCAGTGGGATGAAGTGGTCTAGTTGCCTATAGGGTCCAGATAAAAAGCTATGCCTGTCAGCTTCAAGAATTCTCTAAAAGCAATAGATGACCAGATGATTATAGAAGTTGTACTTCTGAAATATTTCCGTGGTCAGTGTTTGAGATAAGCATAGAAATATTATAGAAATGAAATGTTCCAGGAGCTAATCCAAGAAAATAGGGATAACCGGAATAAATAGCAATATGGCATATACAAATAAGATCGATACGAAATGCATTAAAAATAAAATCCATAAAACAAGTCCCAGATAAAAGGCTAAAGTACTACCAAATAAAATATGTGGATGACCACAATAGCATCAACAATAAGTTCATATATATAAATCCTGGGTAGGAGGCCAAATATAAAGCTGGTGCAAACGCAGAGAATAAATGAAACAGTCCAATAGTCCACAAAACGCAGCAGGACGGGAAAAATCACACCTCACTGTGTATATAGGTAATACACAGTTCGGGAACCTTCCTGCAAAATTCTCTAATTTACTGTAAGACAATAAATATAACAAAACAAGTGAACCCACAAAAGGGAAAAAAAAAAAAAAAAAGAGAAGCAGAAGCAGTACCTTGGAAAAAGTGCTTGCTAAAAAAGAAAACAGAAAAAAAAGGGATGGAAAAAGTGCCCCTTAAAAGTACAGGTCTTTAATAGAAATTAATCACAAATCCATAAAAATGCAGTATAAAATAATACAAGGAATAGTACCAACAGGATACTTCAGCAACACTTCTCAGAGATGCCTCCTTCGATATCTCCCCTGGTGGATGGGATTGGTGGGAATTGCAGTCCTTGCTTCAGAGTGCCTGCCAGGGAAGTCAATGTGCGGTTCACCCAGCGTTCCACCCGAAGCCTCACTCCCGTTGCGCTATCCCACCGATAGTGGGACGGGACAGATCTCGTGTGTCCGGTCCGTATGGAGATCACTGGGTGTTTTATCCCTGTTATCCCTATTTTCTTGGATTAGCTCCTGGAACATTTCATTTCTATGATATTTCTATAGAGAGGATAGGTGACCTCTCTTTTTCCAGTTTTCGAGCTAATATTACCATTTTGGGTTGTTTCTATACACTTTTACTCCCTCTAATCCTAGCACTAGATTACTTGATTTATTTTTACTAGTATTCTGTGCTTTTACCACGGTTATCAGTGTTTGAGATGCCTGATTTAAAGGAACACTACAAGCACCATAGTGTGGAAGTGGTCAAACTGTTTCAGTTTCTCCAGTGACTTATACAACAATGATAGTGTCTCTCTTGCATAGAACAGAAAAAAAGAGAATGTTTCCAACATGGACCGGAAAAAAATTGAAGACAGACCTTACTTTAACCCCTTAAGGACACATGACATGTATGACATGTCATGATTCCATTTTATTACAGAAGTTTGGTCCTTAAGGGGTTAAAGTGGCACGGTCACTGAAATTCTCTTTCCATAAATCAGTTTTCCAAAAGATTACGGTAATTTTTAAATCTAATCAAGTTATGTTACAGCACCTCTGCCCCAAAATAAAAGGTTTTTGAAATGTTTACACAATGTCCCTGAAGTTTCACTGTTTAAGTTAAGTATTGGCAATTTACAAGTTAAATCACGTTTGTTTCTGTTTATAAAGCCCTAGCTGAGACTTACACAGTCTGCATGAAAAAAAAAAGAAAAAAAAGGTTTAATTTTTTAATCAGATTTTATTGCACTGTGCATTTACTTATCTCCTGCTCTGTTAATTGAAATTTAATCACACATAGAAGGAAGATGCAGGCTCTAAAAGGCGTTTAACAGAGCAAGAGATAATAAATGCTAAATTAAACACATTGTGCAATAAGGAAAGCTAAAATATTTAGAGTCAGAGATTTGAGCAGTAAGACTACAGGAAGATGATCTATACACCCAAACCACTTCATTAACCTAAATTGGTTTTGATGCTAAGAATGTTTCTTTTAGCTGAGTCAGTGAAGAAAGACCTGGCTTTAAGTTCAGTATTGTCAGAGTTTGTACAAAAGAAAAGAATCAAAATTTATTTTAAAAGGATTTCAGAAATATGGATCTTAGATTCTCTACTAACTTTCTTGCGGGATGCCTCAGCGCCCTCTTGTAGTGTTCTTGGCATGTCTTCTTGACAATCCAGATGATCCACCTCCGATAACATGATGTGACCCTCAGTCAATGTTGCCGTTGCTATTCTGGTGTCTGTTAATACATCCTCTGTCTTCTCTTCTTGTAATTCTTGGCTGTGTCTTAGAGATGCATATAGCTGGGATGTCAATTCAGAGGTAGCTGCACGTCTCAGAGGGGTGGAGGATGGAGAATGTGTGAAAGATGAAGGAGAGACAGATCGAGGTGAGTTCTGGTAAGAAGTAGGAGAGGAGAGTGGAAGAGGTTCTATACCACTGAGAAGTGAGGAATCTTGGAGAGAAAATGGAAGTGCCATTTGACTTGAGGTTGGCTGTGGTTTGGGGCTAAAAGAGAAAGAGGAATTTAATTATTTGAATAATACTGGTAATCATACAGTTCAAACAACAGAATTAGACAAATTCCAGGAGTTATGAAAACACCCGATCCTTTTCACTCTCACTATATACATACATACACACGCCTAATCGATGCCTCTCTCTCTCTCTATATACTTACAGTCCCAATCCCTGTCTCCATATAGACACACACTTACAGCCCAATCCAATATACATACATACATAGATTTATAAACACACACCCCCAAAAATCACAGCTCTGATCTTTCTCTCTCTGTTTACTCTTAGTCTATCTCTACACTCACAAATATATAGCTATCTATCTCTGTATAGTCACAGTGTGTATATATATATCTGTATAGTCAGTGTAATATATACATACACACACACACACACTGTGACTATACAGATATATATATATATCTAGTCACAGTGTGTGTGTGTATATGTGTATATATATATATATCTCTATCATTGGCGGATCCAGAGGGGGGGCAACAGGGCAATTGTCGTCCCGAGATTCTCCCCTGTCCAAGTGCCAGCCCTGCAATGTGCCTGCGGACCAGGGAGAGAGATCAGTGATCTCCCTCCCCAGTCCGCAGGCACTGTGCTGAAAGCCGGCAGGGGGGGAGAGAGAGAGGACCCGGGAGCTCAGCCTGCAGCTCCTCCTCTCTCGAGATTTAGAGTGTTGCCGCGGTTACCACGGCAACGCTCCAAATCACGCGCGAGTGAACTCTAGCCCTGGAGCGCAGGCTAGAATTCACTCCTACCACTGGGACCACCAATGAATCCCCCACCGGACCACCAGAAATGTTCCCCCTCCTCTCTGTAAGGGTAAGAAGGGAGGGGGGGACATAATGAATATTTATTTTATTAAATAATAAAAAATTATTTTATTAAAAAGCCTCCTTCCCCCATCATACACACACTGCCCCCCAAACACACACACTGCTGTCCCCCCCATACACACACTACAACCCTGACATACACTGCCGCACTCACACACTTCACCCCTAACACACACACTGCCCTCTATACCCCATACCCCAGCAGCCCCCAGGTAAGTTGTCAAACTGTTCTTAATCGGTCTGACTGCTTACTCTGGGAGGGGATTCTGGCACTACTGACACCATAACTACTACACTGAGCTGTACTGGTTATTGTGCCTGGATTATTAATTTAAATAATCTACAGGTGGCCCTCCCGGGATCAGGCTCTGGATCCGCCACTGGTCTCTATACTCACACGGTCTCAGTGTCTCAGTGTCTCTCTCTCTCTCTCTCTCTCTCTCTCTCTCTCTCTCGCTGGCTGGCTGGCTGGGTGATTGATTGATTGGCTGGGTGATTGACTGTTAACGTCTTCCTGTTTGAATCCCGCTGCAGAGGCCGCCTCGTGACGTCATCTCCGTGCGACTCTGCGTTTCACGCCACCGTTACCATAGCAACCTGTCCGCCATGTTGGTACTCCCCGCCCCCCGAATGCCAACACAATGCCAGCTGCCCTGCCAGGCGGTGATTAGGCTGAGCGCAGCGGGTTACTGTACCGGGACGCCGTGATGTCCAGGGAATATAATGGATGAAGAATGTCTGCGTGACGTCATTATAATACCGCCCTTCCTAATTGCCATGGGCAGCACGCCACGCGCCCTTACCCAGCACGGGGCTCGTCTGTAGCTGCAGACACCCATCACCCCCGCCAATGCAACCGAGACCATTATCGGTTTGCCATCATCCAAAATGGCGGATGGAGGGTGTGCCAGGAAGGCGTGTCTCCCAGGCGGAAGTGGGTGGGTGGGCGTGGCTTGTACCCAGGAAGTGCTGTGAGTCCCTGCAAGGCTCAGTGAGAGGTGAGTATGACAGCAGTCAGTGTGATTATTGGGGTACAGACAGCAATCAGTGTGATTATTGGGGTACAGACAGCAATCAGTGTGATTATTGGGGTACAGACAGCAGTCAGTGTGATTATGGGGGTACAGCAGGGCTGCTCAGTGAGTATGACAGCAGTCAGTGTGATTATTGGGGTACAGCAGGGCTGCTCAGTGAGTATGACAGCAGTCAGTGTGATTATTGGGGTACAGCAGGGCTGCTCAGTGAGTATGACAGCAGTCAGTGTGATTATGGGGGTACAGACAGCAGTCAGTGTGATTATTCGGGTACAGCAGGGCTGCTCAGTGAGTATGACAGCAGTCAGTGTGATTATTGGGGTACAGCAGGGCTGCTCAGTGAGTATGACAGCAGTCAGTGTGATTATTGGGGTACAGCAGGGCTACAGCATCAGTGCTATGAGTGAGTATGACAGCAGTCAGTGTGATTATTGGGGTACAGTACAGCAGGCTGCTCAGTGAGTATGACAGCAGTCAGTGTGATTATGGGGGTACAGCATGGCTGCTCAGTGAGTATGACAGCAGTCAGTGTGATTATGGGGGTACAGCAGGCTGCTCAGGGAGTATGACAGCAGTCAGTGTGATTATGGGGGTACAGCAGGGCTGCTCAGTGAGTATGACAGCAGTCAGTGTGATTATTGGGGTACAGACAGCAGTCAGTGTGATTATTGGGGTACAGACAACAGTCAGTGTGATTATTGGGGTACAGCAGGGCTGCTCAGTGAGTATGACAGCAGTCAGTGTGATTATTGGGGTACAGACAGCAGTCAGTGTGATTATTGGGGTACAGCAGGGCTGCTCAGTGAGTATGACAGCAGTCAGTGTGATTATTGGGGTACAGCAGGGCTGCTCAGTGAGTATGACAGCAGTCAGTGTGATTATTGGGGTACAGCAGGGCTGCTCAGTGAGTATGACAGCAGTCAGTGTGATTATGGGGGTACAGCAGGGTTGCTCAGTGAGTATGACAGCAGTCAGTGTGATTATGGGGGTACAGCAGGGCTGCTCAGTGAGTATGACAGCAGTCAGTGTGATTATGGGGGTACAGCAGGGCTGCTCAGTGAGTATGACAGCAGTCAGTGTGATTATTGGGGTACAGACAGCAGTCAGTGTGATTATTGGGGTACAGACAACAGTCAGTGTGATTATTGGGGTACAGCAGGGCTGCTCAGTGAGTATGACAGCAGTCAGTGTGATTATTGGGGTACAGACAGCAGTCAGTGTGATTATTGGGGTACAGCAGGGCTGCTCAGTGAGTATGACAGCAGTCAGTGTGATTATGGGGGTGTAGCAGGGCTGCTCAGTGAGGATGACAGCAGTCAGTGTGATTATGGGGGTGCAGCAGGGCTGCTCAGTGAGTATAACAGCAGTCAGTGTGATTATTGGGGTGCAGCAGGGCTGCTCAGTGAGTATGACAGCAGTCAGTGTGATTATGGGGGTGCAGCAGGGCTGCTCAGTGAGTATGACAGCAGTCAGTGTGATTATGGGGGTACAGCAGGGCTGCTCAGTGAGTATGACAGCAGTCAGTGTGATTATGGGGGTGCAGCAGGGCTGCTCAGTGAGTATGACAGCAGTCAGTGTGATTATTGGGGTGCAGCAGGGCTGCTCAGTGAGTATGACAGCAGTCAGTGTGATTATGGGGGTGCAGCAGGGCTGCTCAGTGAGTATGACAGCAGTCAGTGTGATCAGTGTGATTATGGGGGTACAGCAGGGCTGCTCAGTGAGTATGACAGCAGTCAGTGTGATTATGGGGGTGCAGCAGGGCTGCTCAGTGAGTATGACAGCAGTCAGTGTGATTATGGGGGTGCAGCAGGGCTGCTCAGTGAGGATGACAGCAGTCAGTGTGATTATGGGGGTGCAGCAGGGCTGCTCAGTGAGGATGACAGCAGTCAGTGTGATTATGGGGGTTCAGCAGGGCTGCTCAGTGAGTATGACAGCAGTCAGTGTGATTATGGGGGTGCAGCAGGGCTGCTCAGTGAGTATGACAGCAGTCAGTGTGATTATGGGGGTGCAGCAGGGCTGCTCAGTGAGTATGACAGCAGTCAGTGTGATTATGGGGGTGCAGCAGGGCTGCTCAGTGAGGATGACAGCAGTCAGTGTGATTATGGGGGTGCAGCAGGGCTGCTCAGTGAGGATGACAGCAGTCAGTGTGATTATGGGGGTACAGCAGGGCTGCTCAGTGAGTATGACAGCAGTCAGTGTGATTATGGGGGTGCAGCAGGGCTGCTCAGTGAGTATAACAGCAGTCAGTGTGATTATTGGGGTGCAGCAGGGCTGCTCAGTGAGTATGACAGCAGTCAGTGTGATTATGGGGGTGCAGCAGGGCTGCTCAGTGAGTATGACAGCAGTCAGTGTGATTATGGGGGTACAGCAGGGCTGCTCAGTGAGTATGACAGCAGTCAGTGTGATTATGGGGGTGCAGCAGGGCTGCTCAGTGAGTATGACAGCAGTCAGTGTGATTATGGGGGTGCAGCAGGGCTGCTCAGTGAGGATGACAGCAGTCAGTGTGATTATGGGGGTGCAGCAGGGCTGCTCAGTGAGGATGACAGCAGTCAGTGTGATTGTGGGGGTGCAGCAGGGCTGCTCAGTGAGTATGACAGCAGTCAGTGTGATTATGGGGGTACAGCAGGGCTGCTCAGTGAGTATGACAGCAGTCAGTGTGATTATGGGGGTTCAGCAGGGCTGCTCAATGAGTGACCTCCATGGGTGGGGGGACAGGGAATTCAATGTTTATTTTAATATAGTGCTCTAATTGTTAATGGTCTGTTCAGCCACTCACTGACAATGTGAAGACACACTATAAAGACTCAGTTATTAAGTGTTATTGCATAGCAAGACCACTTACTGTTATCTCACATATATATATTATTCTTATTATAGCCAAATTTACCCCCCTAACTCCTCCCACAGTTTTTACATTACATAGACAGAAATATACCGTGCGGATTGTTCCCGATTAGATTGCTATTACTTTGTGGAACGTTTCGCCGAATGGTTCACGGAATATCGTCGTTCTTGTGGCGAAATTGGTCCCATAGGAATGAATGGCAAAATGTTCAAAACTAGAGTGGGAGCTGGCAAAAGCTGAAAAATCAGGACATGATTTCTAAACTGCCACCACTCCCTCATTGTCAAGCCCACCTACACAAATCTTATATCAAAACGTTCAGCTATCCCTGCTGCCACTAACAATGTCCACGGCCGTAGTCCTGATAGTTTTCACACTATGACCATTTGTTTGAAACTCACACCGTCCATTGACATTCATTGAAACTTCACTCTAGCCAGCTCAAATTTGAAGGGCAATTTCTAAACTGCGACTGTGCCTTCATTGTTAATACTTTAGAGACATACTATGCATCAAAATGTAGGTCTGGGTCTTGTGATTCTCACAATATAAAGCTCTTCGCTGTAGGATTTATAGTTTTCAAAATATGACCGTTTTAAGATGGCAACCGCCAAAATACTCTGACCTGTGCCAGGCTGGAGCAGCAAGTGATGTCATAGACAGGGCCTTTTGTACACCTGCTAATGTTTTTATAAATGTATGTTTTAATGTAACTGTGAAGCACTTTGGGCAACAACGTTGCAATTAAATGTGCTATTCAAATAAATAATAAGTTACTCCGCCCACTCCAGTTGTAGACTTCTGGTGGAGGCAAGAACACTTCACACAATTTCCCCAGAAATTGTAGCTTTTCTAGTTATTATTATTATTATTACTGGTGTTTATATAGCGCCAGCATATTCTGTAGCACTTTACAATATTATCAAATGGGGAGTTTTAACAATAAATGAGACAATTACAAAAACTTACAGGAACAATAGGTTGAAGAGGACCCTGCTCAAAAAGCTTACATTCTATAGGAGGTAGGGTGTAAAACACAACAGGACAGGAGGTAGGCACACACAGAATCTGCCCAGAAATGCAGTATGTGTATATATCATGATTGGGGTGGACACATTGGTGAATAATGTAGTACAAGGGTGGGCCCAGCTTTTGAAAACACTGTAGAAAGTGTCATTTTATTACAACATGTGGGGACCTAACTTTTCGCTATGCCTGATATAGGACCTTTGTTGCAGTGGTAGTAGTTTTTCGACATGAGACTCTGCCACTGGTGAAGCTGGCTAAGAAGCAGAGGAGAGGTAGTTCAGAAAAGTTGAGTGAGCATACACGCTGCACTACGACTGTCAAACAGGTTCATACCGAAATCAAAGCATTGACCCAGGGCATGCTGGTGTGATACTTACATTGGCATCTTTTGATATCAGTCTTTTTATATGAGCAAAGCTATTTGTACGTGGTGCTCAGTATTTTTTGTCAACTGCATTTTTCAACTTGGCAAACTCTTTTACGTTCTGTTGGACGTGGACTGTGGTTTTTAATCAAAGTAGCAAACATAAAAAACAGGTGAAAACTTAGGAGCAGTGGCCATGGCACCTGTAGGATTTTTTTGGTTTTTGCCTTTTATTGATAGTATATCAACATAATACTGTATGTTATCCTGCATTCACTTTTTTCACCTTTATTTATCCCTCCAGATGACGATCCATAACCTGTACATATTTGACAGGAATGGCATTTGCCTTCACTACAGTGAATGGAATCGAAAGAAACAGGCTGGAATCTCAAAAGATGAGGTGATGTTCCACAGTGGGCTGGAGAGGAGTAGATGTAAATAGCCTTATTTAAAAAAATTCAGCATTTCATTTTCTAAATCTTTATTTGTGGAGAATTTTCTAGAGGATTGCATTAAAGGACCACTATAGACACCCATACCACTTCAATGAAGTGGTTTGGGTGCCAGGTCCCTCTAGTTTTAACCCTGCAGCTGAAAACATAGCAGTTTCAGAGAAACTGGTATGTTTACACTGCAAGGTTAATCCAGCCTCTAGTGGCTGCCTCCCTGACAGCCACTGGAGGCTTTACCGCGATTTAAATCTCACTTATTTGACGCTGGATGTTCTCAACGACCTCCAGTGTCAGAAAATATCCCCAAAGGAAAGCATTGAGTAATGCTTTCCTATTGGCGGGCTTGAATGCGCGCGTGCCTCTGGCCACGCATGCGCATTCAGCTCCACTCGGGAGCGGACGTTGATGGAGGAGGAGAGGTCACCAGTGCTGAGGGAGCCTGGTGCTGGATTAAGTTAAGCAAATGAATGGGGCATTAATCACCGTTTAGGTGATTAAGGCTCTATAGCGTTAGAAATACATATTTGTATTCCTAACTCTCTAATGTTCCTTTAAGAACTGAGAAAAGCCTCATAGGTTTCACTATGGATACTTCTCATTCAGATGACAAATGCGTTTAGCTCACTTGTACCTTTTGCACATAAGACTAGTTTAATATATTTCACAAATAGATTATTGTCTTCAGTTTCATGCTAAGAGTCTTTGTTATCTTGTCTTAACCCCTTAAGGACACATGACATGTGTGGCATGTCATGATTCCCTTTTATTCCAGAAGTTTGGTCCTTAAGGGGTTAAAGTGGCTCGGTCAACTCAAATGCAAGCTTTTTCCTATTGTTTCTTCTTCTTTTCCTTTTTCAGAATCTGATCCTTTTTTTTTTTTATTTCTCTTTCTTTAAAATGTGAGACAGAGTAGGGATATCTCTACTATCTTGACAAAGGAAGTGGAGCTTTTTATGCCTAAAGATGTCACATTTGGCAAGCATAGAATAAATGCATAAGTCAGAGTAGTCCCTACTTTGTTTTATGTTTTTAAAGAGAAATAGTTAAGAAAAGATGGATTCTGAAAGAGGAAGATAAGAGGAAACAATAGGAGAAATGTGAGGTGACACAGCCACCGTAACCTAATTGTGTTATTTTCTTCTGCTTTTCCTGATATCTTCTGTGACCAAAGTTATTACACTACCACTTCTTTTTTTTTTTTTCTGGGCAAATCCCATTCTTCTAATCCGTTCCCTTGTTCCTTGTACGTTCTTTGCTTCCAGGAGTACAAGCTCATGTACGGAATGCTTTTCTCTATCCGATCTTTTGTGAGCAAGATGAGTCCAGTTGACATGTATCCTTTGACTCTGTTGGACCACACATTGATCCTCACCCTGGGGGTGTGTGGAGAGAATTAAATAGCAGCCAAGCTGATATACACAAAGTAATGAGGGAATCCTAATGTTTAGTACCATGGGATAAGAAAAAAAATATTGTGCTGTTCTTTAACCCATTGTGCACAGGAAAGAGGGCTTCCTCTCCTTTCAAACCAGCAAGTATAAGCTACATTATTATGAAACACCAAGTGGCTTGAAGATGATCATGAACACAGATCTTAGTGTGGGGAGCATTCGAGATATCATGCATCAGATATACAGCACGGTGAGTGGCAATCCATTAGAACACTGTCATTTTAGAATAACCAGAAGGTTAGGAGCATAAGTGGTGATGTTTAAAGTGTCTCTTTGAAGCACATTCAGACTTTTGGTCAGTGCTGTTTCATAGGACAGGCCTAGCTTGAGGATAAAAGTAATAAACATTTCTTTTTTTCCTCTCTCAGATATATGTAGAATACGTTGTGAAAAATTCTCTCTGTTCTATGAGTGAACCGATTCAAAGCGAACTTTTCAAATCCAAACTGGACTCTTTTATCAGAAGCCTTCCTTTCTTCTCTGCTCGAGCTGGCTAAAGGAGACATGGATTTTACTACACACTTCATATTCATGCCTCAGTCCACATTATTTCCTTATGTTTCATTCACATTCTTCTGACTCACACAGTAAATAAGAGAATTCCTAGTCTATTTCTTTTCTAGGAAGCTCTGGAAACTGCAAGGTTAGTTTATAAATATATGGACATTATCAAAAACCCTCCCTGTTTATTAAAATATAGAAGATTACTGAGATTCTTCAATTAATACATGGGAAAAAAATCTTTGTGTTGTTTTTGTTTGTGTTTATTTTGAAATTGACAAGATTCGATTCTTATTGATTTTTTTCCATCACTGGTACAGCCGGGATTGCGTGTCTTTCAAAACATTAGAATCAAGACAGGAGGAGGAACAGAAGACAGATGAGCAAGATGGGGGGTTGTTTAAAACAATTTCAGTCGCTGGTGGCTTCTATTAGCATATGTGCTCCCCAAAAATCCCTACCCTGCACCCTCACTTGTGTATAGCTCTGCAGAAGCACTCCTGTATGGGCAGAAACGTTCTTTGGAGAGGTTTTTTTCTGATGTCCACAGAAGAATACTCGATTTGCTGATCATAGAGGATTTAATTTTTATTTATTTTTCTTATTTCCACCCTATGCTTTCTCTGAGGGTTTTTATATATAATCAGGGCCCAGCAGCCAAACTGAGTTTATATATAAATTATGTTTGCAGTACTATATAGGTAACAGCACTGTCAGTGTCTCAAATGGGTTTCGCGTGAAAATGGCGTTGAAATGGTTTTCAGAATTTCAATGACACAAACAATTCTACAGAATGTTTCTATTTACAAATGAGAACATTGTAGGACTAGGCAGTAGGTACAAGCTGATATTTCACAAACATGTTTCTGCCCCTGCAATTGTGTGGAAATGTCGAGACTTCCCCTTTAACAAGTACTGTATTAATTTGACCCAAAATATATGGCAATTTATGTACTTAGTATACCCATACTTCGGACTGACATACTTGAAGCCATGTCAGATAAGCTGTTGCTGCACCCTTTGATGATAATTAGGCTGTATACATCTGTTTGGCTGGTTGTGAATTAAAAACAGTATATGAATAACTAAAGTCTGAATTACGTGCAATGTATTTTACGCTAACTGCTTTTGCAGTATTAGTTTCTTGAGTGTATGTATGTATCTATCTCTCTTTTTGGTGAAATGTGATTGTGATTTTCCTGTAACGTGGATAAAAATCAGCCTGTCCTGCAATATTTCCTTAGCTAATCTACTACTCTCCTTCATATCCATATATTTTCACGGTTGGTATTTTTTTGTTTGTTTTAAAAAAAAATGGGAACACAGATTTTTACCTTTCTGAGTCTGTGCATATACTCTTCCTGAAGTTGAATAATATTTCTCTCAAGTGCTCTGTTCAGTCCCTCTACCTGGCAAATATATATTTTTTTCATTATGTTCTCAAGAGACCTTTTACACTGTTTTTCACAACTAAAATCTAGCGTTTCCCTTATGCATTCTTTAGTGTCTGCAGCTTGTCTAGATCTACAATCTCTAAAAACTCTAACGAAGCATTACCTATGCAGGGTGGGCCTCTTACCAGTGAAATATAAGTAAGCAAAAATGATCATTCATTAGATGTCTGTGTGGTAAGAAGCAGTTAAATGAGTTTTCTTTACTAAGAAGGCTAGTTATATTGACTTTCATGTTGAGTATTTTCCACCATTTGTTAGCATTTTTGTGATGACATGTAGCACTCTTGTAGCCTGACTCTGGGAAAGTATCCTCAGGGCAGAGAGTCGGGAAATGCTCCGAAGCTCGAAGTGCCACCAAGCCCTCAGGAATGAGAGTGTAGTTGCAGTTTTAGGCTGCAGATTTTCCCTGAAGTGTTCTTCTCTCTTCAAAGGACAGATCATGTGAGGCACAGCTTTTGCAGTGGTAAGATGTATCAGATTTGATAATGGTCCTCTCATCTTAGGGAATGGAAGGATAGGATGCCTCTTATCAAATGTGAAAATACTCCTGAGCAATATGGTATTGCTCAATCCTTCTGGCATAAGTGGTTTAACTTCCACTAAGGATTCAGTCTCACAAATCACAGGTGTATAAAATCCAGCACATAAACATGAAATTTTCATAGACAAGCATTGGCAGTACAAACTTCCATAAAATGTCTCAAGTCGGTTCATGAAATATTTGTCTTACTAAATCTGCCATAAAGTAGTAGACTACAATACTCATTGGGGACGCAGAGTTCTGAAGAGCACAGCATGTAAAAATCGTTTGCATCACTCATTAAGAGTTCTAACAGCCTCTGAAAGCAACATTAGCAGAAGAACTGTACTCAAAACTTTGTGAAATGGATCTCCATAGCCAAACATGCACTATGCCAAGCATTGGCTGGAACAATGTGCAAACCACGCAGCCACTGGAGTTGGGCAGTGCCAACGTATTCTCTAGTGTAATGACTCCTACTTCACTATTTTAAAAATATTAGTGTGGAGGGGGCCAGGAGAAGGTATGCGTATTATCTACTGTAAGGTTTGGTGGTGGAAGTAGAATAATGGTCTTCAGCTGTGTTTTATGGTTTTGGCGCGGCCCCTTAGTTCCAGCATCACTTCTCAGAGGACTAGTGGCTATAATGCCCATAGTTTGGAAGTGAAATGTTAAACAAGCATGACGGTCAAGTGCTCACATACTTTAGGTTATTTACTAAAGTAAAAATTGTTGGGAATTCAAAGTGAATTTTCAATTTAAGGCCAATATCGCTGAATAGTCTGTCTGCTATGCTTCCAGTTCAATTATTTTGCCAAAAATCTCAGACGATTCCCACTCTCTCTCTCTATATATATATAAAACCCTGATAATGTACTCTTTATTTGAGCCAGGATATATTTGGAAGTTTTAACTTGAAGATGATGGCTAATACAAAGTAATGCTGGCTTGTACGGGAATCAAACCCACAACCTTGGCATTATTAACACCAAGCACTAACCAATTCGTATAAAACCCCAAGAACGGAGACAAATTGAGCTAACTGGCCATGATGATCCTGTTCCTTACAGGCATTTATGGGAATGGGCCCTCAAAGAGGGATCAATCCCAGCTGGAGAAAGAAGACTGCGTATCCAACGAGCCACTGTTGCTGTAGATACATGGTGAATAAAGCAGTGCATGTTAGTAATCTCATATTGTATATTAAGTTTGAAGGCTATAAGTAATTTCAATGTGGATTTCATTTTCTTTTTTTTTGTAAATATGTTTTTATTTATTCGTGATATAATGAAGCATTGTTATGGATACGCAGATCCTTACGGTTAACACAGTAAGTATGGAGCAACAGGATAGAGAGCAATTATTACAGTTGAAAACATATATAAACCATGAAAGTGTAAAGTTTAGGGTTGTCATCTCGCAAGCCTATTAAGGGGGTGGAACCTGCTGGTCCTGTTCCGTTACCATGAACATGGGAGTTCGCCTTTAGATAGTTGGGAGGTGTCGTGGCGCTACAAACCTATTCCTTGAGTCAGAGGTTCCTGCATCCCTGTGTGTTAGGAAAAATATTACTAGGTCTGTGTATAATTAGGTGGGTTTCATTTCTGAAACAGCGGTGGTGTTGCATGAAGGCGTGAGTAGGTGAGACTCCCGCTTTCCAGTATGGGGTCTACTCTGCGGAGTACGAGCTTATCCCTTGCCATGCCTATCGACCGAATGTCGATGGCCTCTGTCAGTGACTCTATTTCGTGGGAATCAGCAGTTTGTACCTCTTTATGACTATTTGAGCGGGCTCATTATCGGGGTTACTTATAACGGAGCTCGAGCGTTGCCTTGGTCTCAGGTCGCCGCCCCCGTAGCGTGTTGTCCTATATCATCAGGCACTATGTGTGAGATCGTTGCGAGCTATCTAAGGGGTTTGTCTTGCGCGGTGTGTGAGTTTGTTAGGGGATACTTTGTCTACAGTTGTGTGTTTGTGTGTGTTTCGTGGTGTCGAGGTGCCCGGCTGCCGGGTCCCGGGGTGTCCGAGGTCTGTGGCAACTGGCGGGCAGTCCTGTCTTGACAGCTCCCCTTCTCTGTCCGTAGTGTGTCGTGCATGTCCACCCCTCTTCATTTTATATCGAGTGTTCATCCTGGGAATAGCCCGACTGAGTCTGGTATCCAGCTCCCTAGATCCCGGGGGCCCAGCAAGAGGGGGTAAGGGAGAAAGTAAAGGCAGGAGAAAATGAGCAGTAAAGGGGTAGGGGTTATGATCTAAGTTAAGTGGTGTCCATGTCCCCTGCTGTCCCCGTCCCGGCAACAGGTGCGTCCCCATCTCGCCGATAGCGGGTGACGTATAAGAACCACGGTGTCCACATCTCGGCGTGTCTAGTACCTCGTCCCGACAGAGTTGCATGTGTTTCCTCCGCTCCCTGGATATCTTCTACTCTTCGAATCCATTCCTTTTTGGTGGGTGTTTCATTTGTTTTCCAGAGAGCTGGTATATTGGCCTTAGCCGCATTAAGCAGGTGTCGTAGTATAGATTTCTTATACGACGGTATGGGTTGTGTAGAGATGTGTAGTAGTGCCAATTCCGCGTTCCACTCCGGTATGTCTCCCATGATGTGTGTCACTGTGTCCCTGATCATTTCCCAGTACGGGATGATGCCCCTGCACTCCCACCATATGTGTAGCACTGTGCCGCGTTCTGCCTGGCATCTCCAGCACACTGGGGGGATTGATGGTAATATACGGTGCAAAAGGGACGGTGTCCTATACCAGAGGGAGAGCAATTTGTAATTCATTTCCTGATAAGAGGAGCACATGGAACTCTTATGGTGCCATATCATCGCCTTGTCCCATTGCTGGGTTGTAAGTTGTCTTCCAAGTTGGTTCTCCCATTGACGTTTGAATGTGGTGGCTGTAGGTGTGCCGCCGATCAGCAAATGTTGGTAAAGAGCCGAAATAGCGTGTTCAATAGGCGTGCCTTGCTCGCAGAGGGTTTCAAACCATGTGAGGTCTCTGTGTAAGAGGTCCTTGTGTAATAGAGTGTCATAGAAATGTTTCAGTTGCAGGTATCTAAGTAGTGAGAGAGGAGTTCGTGGTCCCTCTCCTAGTAATGAGGTTAAATCTCGCAGTTTCCCGTCCGCCAGGGCCTTATATATGGGAATATATGTTCCGGTGCTTGGGATGGGCCACGCACCGGAGGGGAGTCCACCCCCTATGGCCTCGTTATGCGTGATCGGCGTCATCGGGCTGGGCGTGGGTGATATATGCGTCTGTAGCCTGAGTACCTTCCAAGTGTGTAGGGTCTGTAGGACCAGCCCCTCATCGTCGCTATGGTTTGTTCGACCTCCAGTTTTACCCCAGACCTGTGCCTCAAGTGTTGGTCCAATGAGGTCCCTGTCGAGTTTCACCCATTGTTTGGCCGTCGGTTCCAGGTGCCAGTCTAGTATATGTTGCATGACCGTGGCTTGGTGATATTTCTGAAAGTCCGGCAGCGCCAGCCCTCCGTAATTTTTTGGACGACACAGTATGTCATGCCGGATCCTTGCTTGTTCCCCGCGCCACACATATCTAGTGACTGCCGTTTTCAGGGAGGAGAAAAAGGTCGCTGGTATAGCGAGTGGTATGGTCTGCATGAGATACAGAACCCGTGGGAGGATATTCATCTTAATAACTGCGATTCTTCCGTGCCAGGTCACATGTGGGTACGACCATTTGGATAGGTCTGCGAGAACAGACTTCAATAGGGGTGAAAAATTGTGTCGCAATATATCCCTTGGGTTCGTGGTCACCCATACGCCTAGGTATTTCATCTTGCCGTGGCACCAGTGGAACGCGAATTGTGATTCCAATGATAGGAATTCTTCTGTGGGAAGTGTGATGTTCAGGACCTCGCATTTTGAGATGTTAAGTTTAAATCCAGATATCCGTCCAAATTTATCAAATTCCGAGAGGAGGCATGGCAATGTGGTTCTGGGGTTGCGGACGAAGAAGAGGAGGTCATCTGCGTAAGCGGCCACTTTATGTTGTTCACCTTGGGCTTCGTATCCCTGTATGTCTGGGTTCAGCCGAATTGCCTGCAACAATGGCTCTAGGGTCAATGCGAAAAGCAACGGCGAGAGGGGGCAGCCCTGTCGGGTGCCATTGCTAATTGCAAAATCAGCAGTCGTGGCTCCGTTGACCCTTACCGTTGCGCGTGGGCTATTATACAGGGCGGATATCCATTTGAGGAGTCTTTGACCGCATCCCAGGTGTTTCAACGTTGACATCATATATGCCCAGTTGACCCGGTCAAATGCCTTTTCCGCGTCAGTGGATAGCAATAGTAACCGGGTACCTGATTTCCTCGCATGGTGTTGGATGGAGAAGAGTCGCAGGGTGCTGTCCCTGGCCTCTCGACCTGGGATGAATCCCGTCTGGTCCACGTGAATCAAGTCGGGGAGAAGGTGATTAAGTCTGGTTGCTAGGACTTTCGTAAATAATTTAGCATCGACGTTCAGTAGCGAGATCGGCCTGTAGCTCCCGCACTGCAACGGATCTTTCCCCGGCTTAAGTAGGACCGTGATCGTAGCTGCTAGCGATTCTGGTCCCAGAGTTCCGTCTTCCCCCACGGCGTTGAGGGCCTTGGCCAGCCATGGTAGCAAGGTTCCTGAGAAGTTTTTATAGTATCCGGCAGAGAAGCCATCTGGGCCGGGCGCCTTGCCGGTTTTTGTTGCTTTAAGGGCCACTGCTAGCTCGTCTGTACCGATGGGTGTGTCCAAGTTTGAGGCGGAATCTAGATCGATTTTGCGTGCAACTGTGTCGGACAGATAGTTCTGTATCCTAGTATGGACGTCCGTGGTACCAGTGTTCCCGGTTTGTGTGTAGAGATTGTAGAGATTCTCGTAGAAAGACCTAAACTCCTCCGCGATCTTCTGTGGAAAGGAGGTCACCTCCCCTGAGGCCTGACGTAATTTACGTATTTGTTTGCGGGGTGCGGGGCCTTTCAACAATCTCGCTAGGTATTTACCCCCTTTGTTAGCGTGCATGTAATAAAAGCCTTTCGTGCGTTGCAGGGTTCGGAGATGTCGTCTCGTGATGAGGTCTCTGAGTCGTCTTCTTTGTTCCATCAGTTCCCCATAGACTTCGTTTAGCTGGGAACGTTTATGTTGTTGCTCAAGAGTCGAGATTGAATGGTACAGGTCGGCCATCTCGCGCATGAGCGTCTTCCGTTTCTGCGAGGCTATGCGTATAAGTGTGCCTCGGATAACACTCTTATGGGCTTCCCAGATGGAAATCGGGGAGGTCTCCGGAGAATCGTTGTCCCTAAAGTAATGCTCTAGTGCCTGGTTGACTTGTTCCTTGGTGTCCGGATCTAGTAGCAATGCCTCATTAAGTCTCCAGGTCCAGGTCGTAGGCCTGAATAGGGGCGACCTTAGCTCCATCTCGACTGAGCCATGATCCGACCACGTGGCTGGAGTGATCTCGGCTTTGAGCAGGTGGGAGAGACCTTCCTGTGTTACGAAGAGGTAATCGATGCGAGAGTAGCGGTCATGGAGCGCAGAGTAATAAGTGAAGTCCCTATCCGTGGGGTGAAGTGTTCTCCAGCAGTCCACCAGTCTCAAAGACTCGAGCAACATCCGTATGGATCTGATGTTACGCTGCGGAAGGCAGCTATGACCCGTAGATGAATCTAGCGCCGGGTCGAGTGGGGCGTTAGTCACCTCCTACTAGCAGTGCTCCGTCCGTGAAGTCTTCCAGTTGATGTAGGGTGTTTCGGAGGAAGGGGGCTTGCCGCCGGTTAGGCGCGTAAATAGACGCAAGTGTGTATAATCTATCCGCTATGATGCCCTTGAGGAATAGGAATCTTCCTTGTGAGTCCTGCAATCTATCCAATTCCCTGAATTCCAGGTCAGCCGCCAGTATGATAGCTACTCCGGATTTGTGGGCCGTTGGGTGGTTGCAGAAGTAGTTATTTGGGTAATGCCTATTTTGTAGTGTGGGAGCTTTCCCTTCCAGGAAATGTGTCTCCTGCAGCATGGCCACAGTGACATGTTTTTTCTTCAGTTCCCGTAGCAAGTGAGATCTGCGTTCAGGGATGTTAAGGCCTCTGCAGTTTTGTGTTATGACCTTCAGGGGCGTGCTTTTGTATGCCATGCTGGTCACGTGTATAGGGCGAGGTTCTGAGTAGGCTTGAAGTCTGGGGCGTCTTCTGTGTTCTGATGAGTTTAAGGAGGATCACGCGTCCGCGTCACCAGTCCGCCCAGGACGGTGAGAGGGGGACAAGGAGAGAGAAAGAGGAGAGAAGAAGAAGAAGAGATAAAAAAAAAGAGAGAGAGGGGGTGGGGAGGGAGAAAGTGTGGGTGTAAGTAAAGAGAGCAGGGATGGAGAGGAGGTTTGTAGCTGGGAACCCGAGTCGGGGAGCCGAGGCCCGGGGTCTCGGAGGGAGCGCTTAACCAGGTGGAGTGGAGAGTGAGAAGTATGTGTGTGTCCTATATGTGAGTGTCTACACAGTTTCCGGGAGTTTCCCGGGTCTAAACCCCCCAAGGCAGGAAGGGGTGGTCTCGTGCAGTGACCAGTGCCAGTAGGAGCCCGGTTCGATACCGGCTCAGAAGTCGGGGGTACCTACGGCCTGGTCACCCAACTCACAGCACGAGTGTTAGTAAGTGGGTAGCGCGGCTCGAGCTCCGCCCAAGTAAAGGATCAAGGTCCGTCTCGTCCCGCTCCGTCCCGCCCCGCAGTACTATAACAAAATCATCTAGGGCAGCTTGCTGATATAGGGCGCGCACACGTTTAAGTTTAGGTTGCAGTAACAACTATACATCAAAGATAAAATAAGTAAATAAGGATTAACATGAGACAATACGGGGGAAAGCCCCCAGACGATCTCAGAGATCTTAACATTCCAGAGTGCCCCCTGACCCCAAAAAGTCCCCCCAGACGGTGATCACCCATCTAGTCACAGTAAGCTCCAGCCTGTACCCACCAGCACTGAGGTTGCGTTGATTAGAGTGATTTCTCACCCCTCCCCCCCTGCGCTTAATGGTGGTCTAATCTCTCAGTCTGCTGTCCCTGATGTCCATGTACATCCCTCCGCTGTGTACCGGGGCCAGGTTGTTGCTCGTTTGAGCTGTTGGCCGTGTCATGTGCTTGTGATTCTTGCCCACCCCCTCGTCAGTCACCGTAATAAATGTGAATAGGTATGAGGTCACATGTGTATGCATAGCAGCAGGGGGGGGAAAGTCTTGGGAATAGAGCTACCCCCAGGTGCCAAGGTGTCCAGGAAGGTAATAATCTTGTGCATGCCCAGTGGTGTGACCATGTGAGCGTGAGTGGGTGATGGATGTCGGTGGAACCAGAGCATTGTAGTGTGTCGGGTTAGCGGCCTAAGTCAGCGGGTCCAGATTAGTAAGTGCGTGGGGTAATACAGCATAGTACAGTACGGGCTCAGTTATAATATTTCTCTCTGTCCCACGGCATGGCACAGTAATCGGGGGAAAAAATAGGCGTGCAAGGTAACAGAGCATGGGACTCGGGTCAACAGTGAGCCGTGAGTCATGACATGGGAATGGGAGGGGGACATGCAACGGCAGGGGATCAACGTCCAACAGTGACATATATGATTAACATCTTATTCCCCCCCTTTACATCCCTCCCCCCCCCGTGTAATGCCAGGGAGTCTCAGCGTGTTAGTCCCGTACAGTTATAAGTTCAGGGAGTGAGTGTCCATGTTGCATGAGTTAGGCCCAGGGCCCCTGGGTAGATCTTTGGGGTTTGAGAGCGCCGATAGATCTTCCCCGTGTCGTTCCCTTGTTGCCCCCCCCCCAAATGGTTGGTTGCCAGCCCCTCGTGGTATGTATAGCCTGGGACACAAGTAGAGGAGAAGAAATAGTGATCCAGTTCCACTGAAGTGTCAACCTCCCTTGGGTGACTATGGAACCCGTGTTCCCACCTCCCAAAGCCCTCATATACTACCCCAGAGTACCTGAAGATGTGCAGGTCGGTCGGCTTGTTCATCGTAGGCGTCATGGGCAAGCGGAAAATGCAAGTGGCCAGTTATGTGGGTCAGGTTGTCCGGGACCGACAGTGGCTCCACATGGAGACAGGGTGGCTGGGCTAAGGAGGAGCTCAGGGTGGTGGTCAGCAGTGCAGGTGGTCCATTGCTATTATTCTTCTGGGGAGGCCGGGTCCTCACGTCGCCCAGAGTGTCGTGCCGGGGGTGATCTCGCGTGCTGCCGTCTGGTTCCTCTCTGCGGTCTTGGCGGCTGGCCCAGAGGTCCCAGGATCCAGTTGGTGACCGTCGGTGAGGGAAGTCCCAGGTCTCCCATAAATCGCGGTACTTCTTCCGGCCATCTCAGGGTGAACCAGTTGTTGTGATGCCTGGCCACCAAAGCAAAAGGGAATCCCCATTTATATGTTATATGGTGTTCCCTCAGCAACGCCGTCACTGGGCGGAGTGCACGTCGGGCCTCTATTGTAATGGGAGACAGGTCGTTGTACAGGGAGACCTGGGCCCCTCTGAAGGGCCAAGTTGGTTGTTCTCGTGCTTTGGTCATTATAGCGTTTTTCACTGGGAATGAGTGCAGGCAGCATGTGAGGTCCCGCGGTCCATCTTCTACAGCTCGAGGCCGAAGGGCCCTGTGTGCCCTCTCAAGCTCTATTTGGCGCGGTTGGGGTGACTGTAAGAGGGATTGGAATAGCTCCTTGAGTACCTCTTCTGCATTTTCCGTCCCCTCTGCTTCTGGCACTCCGCGTACGCGGATGTTGCATCTCCTGCCTCTGTTATCCACATCTTCCAGGTGGCGGCGTATGGAGAGCAACATGTCCCCCTGACGTGCCACGGCAGTGTCGGTGGATGCCATGCGGGCGGTGAGGGCCGCAGCCGCCTCTTCCGCCGCGGTGATACGGCCCGCCTGCGCTGCTATCTCCGTGCGGATCCCTGCTACCTCCGACCGCAGCGTGTCCTGGATGGTGGCTGTGAGGGTCTGGAGGTCGGTCCTTGTGACCATAGTGGCAGTCAGGTCGCGGAGTTTGCGCTCTATTCTGTCCAGGGCCGTTATCTCTGGCCCCGGCGTGGGTGTCGGCGCCATCTTGGGATCAGCCGGGTCCCCGCTCGCACCCGGTTGCGGCTGTAAGAACCCGTCCAGCGGGCCTTGCTGGGGGTTCCTCGGGGTCTGGGGTTGCTCCGGGCGTTTGGTGCGCCCCATCATGCTGATGTGGACACTGTAAATGCGGTATATCGGGGTCGGTGGAGCGGAGTACTCCTTTCAGGCGGCCATCTCGGTAAGAGCCGGAACCACGCCCCTGGATTTCATTTTCTGTAACTACTGAGAATGTAGGTGTTTCATGTCTTTCAATCTACTGATAATATATTTTGTTGTCTTTACACAATACCAAGTAACAGAGAAAAACAATGCCCACTTTAAAATGCTAATAGCACACAAATAAGGATAAAGTTCAAGCCAAAAAAATTAATATGAGCAGAAAATTTAAATTTTTAAACACCCCAAAGAATACCCCCTGTGGCAAACCCTGCCACTTGAACTAACTATTCTGTGCGAATGGGTGCTAAAACAAGTGAATAAATGCACGAACAGACTTTATTGCTATTTTTACTGTCTTTCATGCGAATGCCCCGAAACTACCAAACGGGAGACCACCCCGGGGTGGTCATGTGTTTCCAATTACCTGAAAGATACAATGTTGCGAAGGGAATTAAGTACCTGTATGTGTGGCCGCCATTTCGCCTACCGAACACGTGGCGGCGGCCATCTTACGCACGAACAGCGGTACTTGGTCGTCGAACGCCTGGAACTCAAACCGGGCATTTGACTAACAAAGTACCGCTAAGACCTCCAGCATGCTCCGACAGCACGAACTAAACACGAACGCCCTGGCGTTCGGTAGATAGAATCCCCTAAACGAGGGGATTCATACGAATGGTAACAGTCGCCTGGATGCCTGAGCTGTTTGGGATTTTGCGTTCACTTATAAAGACCGACCGCAGGGCCAGAATTCATGGAACTGTTTTCGGCTACTGAGCCCCTGCGGTCGGTCAAATCTTTAAATGCCTGTAACTCCCGAACCCCTGGTCCGATCTGGGTGATTTAACCCTTATTTAACCCTGTACCCCCTGTATTTAGGGGACATCTATAAAGTGGGGAAAACTCTGTCCCCATTAATCTGTTTAAGTGCTAATCTAAGGGGAGGAGAGGGATGGGAGGTGACCATGTTATGATTGGCTACTGTACTAATTATGAAAGTTACCTCCCTTGCATGGGAGAAATGCATAAAAGCAGACATGTGAATAAAGCTGACAGTTGACTCCCAGACTATGTGTTGTCTAGTCCTTGGGGAGGTGGATTATGCTGTGTTCCTGTGATTTTGTATGCTGAATCTTTGTTCCCAGCGGAGAGCTATTGGATTAACCCGTTAGCGGGAGTGCCTAGCTGAAATCAGTTCCAGGCACTCGACAACCAAGTCCTGCTTTCTGCGTTTGGGAGGCAAAATTGCCGTTGGCCATGTGCGTTGAGTTGTACGAAAAGGCGGCCACCCAGGGGAGCATTCTATTAATTGTTTTCGTTGTGTTTTTCGTACTGGATACTTAGTGTTCCACGTTGTAATAAGGTGCTGGGTGGTCCTTGTTCGGTTACCGAACCTGGTGGGTTCGAACAAATAAATGAAAAAAAAAAATGTGCAGAACCAAGTGATGGGGTAATCTTTCAGAATTATTATTTATTATACTTTATAAAGCGCCAACAAATTTCTCAGCACTGTACAATGGGTGGACTAACAAACGTGTAATTGTAACCAGACAAGTTTGATAACACAGGAACAGAGGGGTTGAGGGCCCTGCTCAATGAGCTTTCATGGTAGAGGGAGTGGGGTAAAGTGGCACAAAAGGTAAGGGTAGGAGTAGAGAAGTTAATTGGTTGAATAGTTTCACGGAACACTTAATGACAGTTGCAGGTAATGAATCAATTGGGAGCTATTACCAGTTTAATTTTCATGAAATAGCGGGTTTTTATTGCTTTTTTGAAAAGTAGAGACTGGGTGAGTGTCTAGAATCGTCTTGAAGGAGAATATTAGAGGTGGGAATACGAACAGAGGATAGACGTAGGTCTTTGACAGATCATAGGGGCCGAGACAGGACATACTTGGGTATTAGGGAGGATTGGTAGGTGGGAGCAATATTATGTGAGATTTGAAAGCAAGAAAAAATATTTTAAATTGAGCCCTATATGTAACGGGAAGCGAATGCAGGGACTGACAGAGAGGTGCGGGCGGACAGGAAGATGAGACTCGTCGCCATATTCATTATAGACTGTAATGGGGAAAGTTGGGAGCATGTGAGACCACTGAGAAGCGGATTGCAGTAGTCAAGGTGAGAGAGGATAGTGGCATGGATCAGCACCTTGGCCGCACCTGGCGTTAAGTAGGGGTGGATGCGCGCAATTTTTTTAAGGTGGAATGATTTGACGATTGACTGGACATGAGGGATGAAAGAAGTCGCAGTCAAAAAGAACACCTAGGCAGCGAGCCTGTGTGGTAGAGCTGATGGTAGCGCCGTTAACATGCAGGGAGACATAAACCGAAGTAGCAACAGTTGAGGGAGGAAAGACCAGAAGTTCTGTTTTGGACAGGTTGAGTTTAAGAAAGTGGGCAGCTATCCAGTAAGCAATAGCAGAGAGGCAGTCAGAGACAAAAGTAATGAAGGGTCAGGAGAGCACAGTAGGGGACTAAGGACTGAACCTTGGTGAACACCAACAGAGAGGGGTGGAGAGATGGGGGGGATGCTTGACAGAGGGTGAAACTATAGTGCCAGAAAAATGAATTTATTTTCCTGGCACTATAGTTTCCCTTTAACATCCAGAGGGGGAGGGGCATTACTTATTATCTATATTGTGTACCAATTTTAATGCTAATTTAGTTAGTGTATATTACAGAGTAACGTTTAGTCCCCTGTGCCCCCCTTCCGATGCACTGGATCAAACTCTAATAGGGTAAGTTCCATTAACCCATTCACTTCCAAATTCTTTTAATTATCAAAATTTTGACAGAAACTAAAGTTTTTGGTACAGATCTGTTTTAAAATTTAAACTGCTTACTGATCAATACAAAATTGTTTCCACAGTCCTGTTTTCTGTCCTTATCTTATGATGAATAACAATAATTACACTGAATAACATATTGGGAAGAATAGTTGCTGTTATAGAATGCGACTGTGTGTATGGGAGCAGTGTGGGAGTTTTGGGACAATCCTGCAAACTGAAAGCTGTGACTCATTGGGTAGTGGGTGTGTCGTATGCAAAATAAGCCATTGTTATTTCACACCAACAATCTTGTCAATTTTATTTAAAAGCATTGAAATTATATGAAACTTCAGGAATTGTTTTTAAAAAATGTTGTTTGATAATATTGTTTATATTTGTGTAAATGTGAAATATACAGAATGTCACCACATGTGCAAAAGAAACCTTTTGCAGCTGGTTCTTTGCTTGTAGTAGCTGTTCCTCAAGACTATACTTTCAGGGATCATTTCTATAGTTTGTAACTGGTGAAATGTGCTCTAAAGTGTCCAAACTCAGTACCCACGAGGAAGAGCTTGAGTGTTTTCTCCTGAGCGTGAAGTGGGCTCCCAGTGCTGCTTTATTGTAGCTGCTGGTTGCTGTTGATGACCGTTCCTTTCTCCTTAATTGGAGAGTAGGAGGGAGAGAACACAAGCTGAGTGGTTACTACATTCTGTGTTAATGAATAGTTAATGTAAATAATCATTCTCAATAGATATTGTTGCAACTATGTCAACAAAGAAATCTGCTCAGCAACTAATATGTTATATTGTGTATTGAAATTGTCACATTTGCTGTCTGTTTTAATTTGTTTGTGTGTCATCTTGTGGCTTTTTTTCTGTCGTGTGTAATCATGCGCCATCTGTTGGACGGAAAGTGTATGTTCTGCTATCTGTAATCGATTCGTATTTATGTCATCTGGTGGTAGCTGTATGTATTGCATTCCATTTAAAACATTGTCAGATTTCTTACTAAATGTAGACACACTGAAAAGGTTTGTCTGCTTTCAAACAACCAGAGGGGGGAGGGAGAGTACTTATTATCTATATTAAGTACTAATTTTAATTCTGGTTTAGTGAGTATTACAGAGTCAATTTCAATCCCCTGTGTCCCCCGGTGCATTGGATCAAACTCTCACAACTGGGGTGAATTAACCCGTTCACTTCCAAATTCTTTCAAGAATCTAGATTTGGCAGAAATTAAAGTTTGGTACCGATCTGTTCTAAAATGTTCTATTTAAACTATATTTGCTGTCATTTCCATAGGCTGTTATCACACTCTGAATTTCCTGTGTTACAGCACAGAGTGGATGCTGTACAATGTAACATAGTCTATAAACAGTACTGCAGCATTTGTAATAGGGATAGGAAGCTGCTAGACCAGGTAGGTACAAGGTGGCTCTAAGGTACTCTCTAAACTAAAGCTTTAGACAGTAAGAGTATCCCTGCTTTCTCACTTTATAAAAGGACTTATTTCAAGAGAAATCAGTTCTTAAATGGGACACTGAAGGCACTTTAACAACTTCATCTTATGTAAGTTGTTATAGTGCCTGCAGTCCTAATTGCCAAAACCTAATATTAAACGATTAATAGCTTCAAGCCACGCCTCCAAGCCCTCTGGGTATGAGAGCCGGGAATCTTACTTAACCCCTTAAGGACCAAACGTCTGGAATGAAAGGGAATCATGACATGTCACACATGTCATGTGTCCTTAAGGGGTTAAAGGATTTTTCCTGGCACTATAGCTTCCCTTCCCTTGCACCTCCCCGTAGTGCAGAAAGGGTTAAAAACCAAACAAACTTATTTTGCCTACCCCAGTCCTTTGTCACTTCATCAGATAGGAAGCTAAGAGAAATATCCGATTTACAATTTGTCTCTAATTCAGTCTCGCCTATTCACAGTGTAATTACCATACTGCCTCCCAGAATGCACAGCACAGACCCAGCATGTACACGTGTCTCTCCACAATACAAATGAGAGTTTTCTGAATCTTCTGAATGAGGTTAATCCGAGGCGTGATTA